CAATAACTGTCTGAACCAGCTCCTGGGCTCCCATGGGAAATGTTTTCCCTGCACATGTTGTTGTTCAGCTCTGCTTCTTTAGGCTTGTCGTGTATATAGTCTTTGTGTTTGACCAGCAGAGGCTGTGGTCGCAGCCAGATGAATCACCAGATCTCTTTGATGTTCTTCCTGCATGAAAAATTGTGAAGCTTTCTGGCTGAGCTTTGCATGGTCATTATGGCTACCTCTAGGAAAATCAGTGCGTCTTCTCTTGCCACTGGAAAACCTAAAGGAGAAGAAAGCCTGACAATACAGAGTAAAGGATTTAATGTTGTTGTAGAAGACGCAGGAGGGAAAGGAAATAAGTTCAGTTCAGTCATTGTGGTTGGACCAGACCTCCTTCAAGAGAGGAGGAAAAGTGGTGGGGACTGAGAAAGGGAAGTCTCAGGGCAGGGAAGGTTTTCCTGGGAATACATCAAAAGTGCTAGAAAGGAAGCGGAGCACTACTGTGAGCATCTGGCTGAGCACAGGGGATGTGCATGTAAAACATCGAACATTGCTACGCTCCTATGCGTTGAACATGGCATATAAGCATTTGGGCAAAGCTGTGTCCACAGCTGACTTCTAGGAAACCCATAGATCTTGTGCTCTCCCTGTTCCAAAAGAATCCTGCTTGTGTTTGTGCTTCCTGTTCCACTGGGGAAAGAAACCAAGAGCCAGAAACACATAGGGCCCTGGATGAGGATTGCTGCTTGGCTGGTGTTACTCTGGGCTTTGTGGTTGCTCTTCAGGCTATTACATGTAGGCAGATCAATCTTCATGCACACAGCTGCTGGTTTTCAGTGGAAGACAAGCTGTGTGGGGAGGCTGGGGGGCCAAGAAAAACTTCTGCTCTGTCAGATTTTAAGAAGGCTTCCATAAATGTTGTGGACATAAGACAAGAGAGTCGGTATTTTGTCTTTCAGTGGAGGTAAGGTAAAGCTTGCTGTTAGACTACACTTGGCTCACCTGGGGCAGGAACACGCAGGTACTGAGGAGCTGCAATGTGCACTGCCTGTTGCCCAGGCAGCAACCAAGACTGAGTTTGGGCCTACAGGAAAGAGATTTGTAGGGTGGGTGGAAGCAGCTGGGAGGGATGGAGAACACAATCTGTGAAAAGCAAAGCTTCATTGTCCCAGAAGCACTAAAACTAACGAGCTTTGCATTTCAAAGGTGGTGAGCCTTCTTCAGACCTTGTAAGAGACATGCCTGGGATTTGCCGTGTTAAATCTCTATGTGGGGAAAAGGAGCGTGTGGCGGAGGTGGAGAGAGAGGCAGAGGAGGCAGCGTGCAGAAAGTAGAGGCCAGAGACCCTTATTTGGGTGCAAGTACCAATCTGCTGTCTACATGAGTCTGCCTGAGTTGCATATGCTTTCCTTTTCTGTGTGCACAGAAAATTGTGATAAATAGAGGTTCAGGCAGTGAAGAGCATTTATTTTTATTTGCCTATTTTTGTCATTCACTTGGCATCTCTAGATGAATGGTGGAACCAGGAGGAAAAGGCTATTCTCCTTGTGAATACAATCCTTGCGTGTGTGAGGCAGCCTGTCTCAAAGGCAGTTTGATGCCAGCTGACCCCCTGCAACCCACCTTCACCTTGGAAATATCACTCCAGTGTAATGGTCTGCTTCTGGCAACCCTCCCAGCAACCCCATGGAGTCTTTCAATCAGAGCTGTGGATAGGCAGTTTTCCATGCTCTCTGACTAGGGTAGCTCGGGTCCTGGTCTCTGTCCTTTCCTCTGTTTGCCATCAGGTATCAGAGTGGAGGTGGAAGGACTTCCTTTTGACGCTTCACCTCCCAGCAGCCAGGCATAGACCACGTAACCCAAAGGCTGTTCTGCCCCTCTGCAGGGCTTGGATCCATCCCGCCCCAGTGCTGGAGAGAGCTGTCATTGCACAGGATGGTTGACACAACCTTTTGCCCCGTCTGCATTCTTTCTAGAGACAAACTACCCTTTCAGCCTTCCCTTTTGACGACAAAGGATTTTGAAATGTGCAGACTGTTCAGTAGTGTCCTATTTTTCCTTCCTATTTTCTTTCCAATGTGTCAGTTTTAGTAGCCCCACATTCAACACATGGGCCCATGGGCACGTGTAAAGCATCATCCCCCTCTTGACAAAGCCAGTGACTCCTGAAGTGAGGAGGCTAACCAAAGCATCAGGTGAAGATGACACTGTGCCTAGCTCAAAGCAGGGTAAAGGGAGCTGTTTCATGTCCTGTTGGTCCGCTGAAAGTTAAAATTGGCAGCAAAGACATCAAAGCAGGTGTGAGGATGCTTCTGCAAGATTTGCCAAGGACTCCTCTGTTCCTGTCTGATGCTGGGAGCCAGGGCAGGGAAAAGACTGCAAGCGCAGCCTGTTTAATATTCTCTTCTGTCCCTCTGATCTCCCCCCTACCCCGCAGAAGCAACATGTCCCATGTTTCTGCAGAGCTTGTCCTGAGCAATAGCAGCATCTGTCAGGGGTTACGGTGGCATTAGCCTCATGGAGCTGGGAGTTAGCAGCGCTTGGCAGAGTGACAGTTCTGCTGTACCTTACATAAATCTGTATCTTGCGTAAATCTGTCTCTGCCTACTCTGCCAAGGTGTGTGGTCACAATTTGTCTGATTCCTCCCGCTGTCCACAAGGCCCTTCAGTTTCCTAGAAGATTTTATTTGCTTCTTGAGGCCCTTCTCCCTCCTCTTGCTTCACACCTCCCCACTCCATACCCTTTCCCTTGTAGCTTCCCCATGAGCCCTAGAGGGAACATTTCCTGTTAAACAGGCGTTATTTTAAAATAAATTCCCATCACCTGCCCCTCTCAGATGCTACAGAAAGCTCCCCACATTCCTGTAGAAAGAGGGAAGGTCTTGACCCTCCCTGTGGCTTTGGCAGCAAACCACAGCAGCCTGCCTGCCACCCACCACCTTCTGCTATCGGCTGCACCTTGATCCCAGGTCCTGGTTCCTTGCTCGTCAGCACTTAATATTACTTGGTGTGCCTTGGTTGCTTCTCATCAGCTTTCTTGGACACTTTTAGACCCTTCTGAGAAAGTAGCAGCAACTGTCCCAGTTCTCAGCCTTCTTCCAGTGTCTAAGGAAATTCTTGGGGAGAACAAGAAAATCTTTAATAAACGGAACATTATATCCCCAACCATACTTGTGCCACGTGTTTCCATGCAAAGCACCTGAAAAAAATGTTGACCTCTTGAAAGCATCTCTGGTCACCACAAGGCTTGTCCTGAGCCACCGTCTCCTCCCCAGCACTGCTCAGGGACCTGATGGGAGCCATGCTGCAGTGGTGGCCCGTGGTGTGGGGAGGGTCCACTCGCCAGTGCTCTCCTGTGTCACTTTGTCACACACCCCGATCGCTTTATTGTTTCCAGGCTGTAATAAAGCGCTGCTCTGAGCGCTGTGGCAGAGACCAGCGTAATGTTCCTGTTAGTCTGCAGGGCCAATCTCTTAATATGCATTACCCGATAAAATACAGCAGCTCCAAAGGAGTGTATGGTCTGTCAAGTAAGCTCATTGCACCTCTCAGTGAGAGTCTCCACTGAGATATATGTCCTTGGGTGCTGAGAAGGAGGTGCTTGAGAGTAAGGGTACTTATTACTGTTATTATTTACTATTGGTTTTTGTCTGGAGCTGGTAAGCAGTGAAGGTAGTACACTCTTCTACCACAGGTTATCAAGGGAAAGAAAAAAAATCCCACGTTGTGTTATAGCATGCACCCTGGGCTCTTAAAATGGAAGTTTCTGTTTTGTCTCCAAGCCTTCTCTCTTTTGTAGGCAGACGTGAGAGCCGTAATGCTAAGTGAATGGTATATATTAAGTCTATACAATGGCTCTTTAAAAAATAATCACATATGGTACAAAAGGGAGAGGAAATTACTCCATTCCTGTAAATGGCCACTTAAGATGTGGACAATAAATAAATGTGATAAATAATCTGGAGTATCTGAGCTTTAGCATTTAGGAGGAATAAATCAGAGCTCTTTCCCCATTGTCTGCCGAGATGCATCGGAAATGGAGTTGGAAGGAAAGATTTCACTCAGAGTTGTGGCAAGGTGTTGGAAAGCCCGTGGGCGTGTGTAGGAGTCTCCTGCCCTCCCCTGATTTTTCCCATGTTTTTTGTTACACTTTCCCTGCACCACCCCTCCCGTTCACAAGCATGTGCTGCTCTCCTATGAAATGGAAGAGACTCCCTTAAGTCTCACTTGCCTCTTGCGAATAAGTGCAAGAACAACGCCTGGGGAATAAAGCCTCTGCCGGCAGAACTAACGCATCTCCCAGATTGCTCATTGGGTATTTAGCCCTTCGCCTCTCCAACGGCTTTGCCTTTCCACCAGCACTCTTCCACCCTCCTCTGCCCATTCATACCTGCTCCTCGCGGACGAAACCAGCTGCTCTTCTGCTCTGTGCAAAAGTCTGAGTGCCGGTATTTAAACGCAGCTCCAGTTGCTAAGCCCCAGCTACTAGCGGAGTGCCTGGCTGGGGCTTGCAGCCGAGGGCTGTGTCACTTTAAGGCATGTGATACTTTCCCGAGCAGGGATGTATTGAAATAGGCTACGGTACTTACGGCACCGTATAGCGGTGTACGTACAGCTGCCTTACTCTGCACTGCCTGCGCTGGAGCGAGGCTGCTCTGTCGTTAAACATAAACTGCTCCTCATCTTTAAGTATCCTGGAAGCTGCAAATTATCTCAAGATCACTTCAAAGGTCTCATCAAGCAGAAGGTGATGCTAGGAGATGATTTAAAGGTGAAAATGAGAAGGTTTCCACCCCTCAAACCTTGGCCACTTTTCTGACGGCAGAGTCTGAGAGCTCAGATGTCTTCTTTACTCTGGGAACAGGATTTGTAACAAAAGAGATTTTTTTTTTTCTTCTAATCCTGATAAAGAAGATTATTGGGAAGCTATTAAAAATCCCTTATTGTGATACAGATGGATTTAAAAAAGTGTTAGATCTTTCCAATGAACACTAATAGAGTGCTCTGCTCTTGGTTGGATTACTCAGGTAAGGAGCTTCTTTAGGATTTAAGATTCAGAAAGCAGATCTGGAACTCATCAGATAATAAGCAGAGGAATACTCACTGCTGTGTTTCTTACTACTGATAAGATGATTTGGGTGTAAAAGTGTGTATGTGACGGCAGTTTGCTGACAAACAAGTGCATGAAGAAACGTTTCTGAGATATACTGGGTTTTGAGCAAAGGTAGTTTGAATTAGTGTAGTTTGAAAAAGGTTTTTATAAAAAAAAAAAAGGGGAGGGGGGAGGGGAGCAGAGAGCAAGTAATAAAGGCTGAGTGGGTTAAGTCAGTCTGCTGTCCATGTGGTTAAGAATATGATGCCCGAGGAAAGACACAGGAGCATTCAGCAGGCTGTAGAAGTTTGCCTTTGCTTTGCTGTTGCTTCACTGTTTGGCTAGGATTTTTAAAGTTCAGTTTAAATAGCCTGAATACCTGAAATATCCCTGTGTGAGAGTCACCTTTCCCTCTTGCCTTGTTTTATAAAAAACACGGGAGCACCAAATATGACAAGAAGGCATTAATTCCTGAAGACACGGGAAGCCTACTGGGAGCTCCCTGATCTGAGGGGATGGAATCTATTTTGCAAGATAAATGGGTCTAAAAAGAGAGGAGAAAAAGTACACTGTATACTGCAAAGTACACAGTCGGAAATGAAATTAATTATATGCTAAACAGTGCATCAAACACTCAGTACAGAGAAAGGAAGAGCCTCATGCTGATCAAAATAATGTTTTGGTATTTTCTATTAATTATACTTGTCAGTTGATGTGGTTCTTTTCAGCCAATTAGACTTAAAAATCTTCCCAAAGACTGTATGCTTCTTTAAAATCAGGGAAAAAAAAAATTATATCCATATATTTTATTACCGCTGTATTTCACTATTTTAATATTGTTAATTTTCCTACTGCAGTAATCACCCTGATATATCACATACAGACTTTTTATTTTTTAATTTTTGTTTAAGGCAATGATTTTTCTATGTGAGAGATTTAATCTTTCAAAGTCTTTCTTGCTCTGTGAAAATGATGTTCAGCTGATTGGATTATTAGATAGAAAATGGCATCATGTCATTGGCTGAATAAGGAGAGTGCCTGAAGTTTGATTAATTTGGCAATACGAAATGCAGCAGAAGGTGTTGTTAAGGGAGCTGGACAATGTGTAGCGTAGCTGAGCCTTGCAAACCTCCCGATCCTTGCAGGCATTGAGAAAGAGCTGTTGAAGTTAAAAAGTCAGAGGGAAATTTAGCCAGTACTAAAGTAAAATTAGCCAGTAAAATTAGTACGATAATGAATGCAAATATGAAAAATCACAGTTGTCTGTATTGGATGGCCAAGTATGCCAGCACCGGGAGACGAAGACATTGCTCTTCCCTTTACAATAGGAATCTCCTTAAAATTTTGACACAACTTGCTTTGTGAAAAGATCAAATCTTCTATAAGGTACATATGAAATTCAGTCGGGCCATACTCCAACTTTGCACAGGTTGGACAAAAGGAAGCAGATTTCATCTGGGGATTAGAACATAATTCTGAGAAACAATTACTTTGTTTAGCAGACAGCATCATGATTAAAAATTAATGCTCGCAAAAGTCAAAAACAATAAGCTGTTACCTTCTGGGTCAGTATTAGCCTTCCAGTCTTGGGGCTAGAGTATTTTTGAAATGCATCTCAGATATCTGATGATGTTTTATGCCTATCTGTAATGTGTTTAAAGTAGTTTTGATGCTGTCTGGACACCATGTTCTTTTTTTTTTTTTAAGCTAGCTGTGTGATTTTTTTTTAACTCTTGTAAATTCAGCTATGGACTAGCATAGGAGTATTTTCCAGCCTTCTATTTACGTTGGTTTTGGTATTTTTAGTCCTCAGATCATTACAGTTTCATTTTTACCATTGAATCATTAAAGTTATCCAGGCTCCTGTGTTGACATCTTGTTACCTCAACTGTCCTTTTTGGACATGACCTTTGTTGTACAACAATTGCATCCTGCAGGGGGTAATAATAACACGGAGACAAAAGACATTTAGCAAAAGGAGTGTATAAAAAAAAAAAAATTAAAAATACTGTTGTAATGGAAGCTGACTATTCTGTGTGCTGTAAGGCAATGGATAATAATGTCTGTCTAATATTTTGTTTAGAGAATGGCAGTGGTCTCTGCAATGTCCTGGGTCCTGTATTTGTGGATAAGTGCCTGTGCAATGCTGCTCTGTCAGGGGTCCCTCCATCACACTTTCCAGCAGCATCACCTGCACAGACCAGGTAGGACTGAGATCAGCTGTGGGATGCCATAAGATTGCAGGCTTTCTGCCCGTGCTTATGTCTGTCTTGATAAATGATTGAATAATCATAAAATCCACTTTATCATTTAACTTTTGAGTTGCTTGCCTTCATATTGCACAGCATCTTTTTTGGGTCGGTCTAACGTGTTGTGCTTTGCCAATCTGATATTGGAATATTCATCCTTTAATGTCATCTGCTAACAACTTCCCAACACAGGAATCCCATTTGGGATAACCATTTAGTTGCTCTGTCTCTTCCTCTGTCCTTATTTCTATCTCCCCTTCTCCCCATTTTGTTCAGTTCTGAAGTGGGTGTATAACTCTGAAAGATATTGTGACAGCACAAGTTTGGATAACTCTGCAGTATCTGACCCAAACTGAACATAAGTTTGTTACTTAAAATACTGGCACCAAATCTCACTCATAGTCACTAGTGTTTACTGGAGGCCAGGTGTTTGCCTTAGAGAGTTATTCTAAGGTTCTCAAGTTTACCTCTGAAAATTGATGGGGTTGCAGAAGTGCAGCCCAGAGGAGAATTTGGGACTGTCTTTCAATGGAGTTAATGCCTGTAAAGTCAGAATAAATCCCACAGGTTAGCGGTGGAGAATGCAGCTCACTTTGACTGTTGTGATCCACAGAGACTGCACATTAGTAGTTTTACTGTGTTTTTATTAATAGAAATGGATCATGTAACTTTTTCAACGGTTAATTGCGCTTTGAAGAATATGTGCCAGCTTAAAAATTGAGGAGTTGGCATATTCTAGCACAGTATTATCATCTGGTTAAAATTAGATCGGCCAAGAATGTTGCTTCACAAATTTGGATCCAAAAAAAGGTGGGAGAGGTTTTAAGAGCTTTGGAAATGAAAGATGGAAAATGTTAACTCAGTGATGAATCATTTAATAATGTGGCAACTAATACTTTAATGTTTTTTTAATCTAATGGCATACCTTCAAAGATGGATGGTATTGAACCGCAGGTCTTTAGCAACCTTAATGACTGAAAGTTTTCCCTAGTACTTTCCTTGTCCAAAAGTCACAGGTATTGGCATTGTCTTGCTTTCTTGTAATAAAATATGCATAGTATGAAGGAATAGACCTAAATCTTTGATAGACCAGCTCTCGGTAGCTGTGTTAGAGCATCTGATTAACTAATGGTGTTATGTTTACTAGCTGGCACTGGAAGTTTGAGAGTGTTTGAAATTTGAGTGGTGAGGTTCTTATTTGGGACTTGCAGAGAAATGAACAAAATACTTATTACAATGCAATTGTAAGTAATGCTGCCGGTTATTTGAGCCTGTCCCCCAGCGAAGGAAATGGGGAAAAACAGCCCAGCTAAACAGAAAGGTAAAAGGAAAATGTAATCTTGTTTTGTAAAATCAGTTGAAACAAGTGACATTATGAGAAAAAATGAGAGCTGGGCAGATTCAGAGCTCTGCAACATTTGCCTAAGCTTGAAAAATCACCTTTTGATGAAGCAAGAACAGCAAGACGCGGAATGCATACCAAGTGTTGGGGAAATGTGAAAAATGACAAAATCTTTCACTCAGACATGTGATACAGATAGAGTGAAGGTTTTACAGCTGCCTCATCACCTACTTAGAAACAGCCAAGCTTTCCCTCCTGCGAGCCTTTCTCAGGCAGCTTCTCTGCACCCTACATGAATAAGATTGATGGTGTTCTGATCCCAGGCAGCCAATTTCAGTCTCTCAAGAAATAATCCACTACATTGACAGATGAGTGGAATTTGACATGATGTTCACCTCTGATTCAGATTGTGCTGCACCTGGGAAGTACCAGCTAGCGAGCATCCTTTAGGGAAACTGTTAGATTTTGGACAATTTCTGCTGTCACAACAGAAAATCAAGACAGTGGGTTTTATAAGGCCATGAATTTGCGGTCTGCCAACTGAATGTGAAAGGTTGTGTATAAAAGGGAAGGAAATACGTTAACTAGCAAACTGAGTGATTTTAATGTATTCAACTGCAGTCCCTGAGCACACCCTATTTTTCATATTTATAATATTGGGAATGCGTCATTTACTTTTAGTTAGTCACTGTGTAAGTAAGATTAAAATGTTCAGCCAAATAAGTGAATAAAAAATGATGCAGATGAGCCAGTGCATAATTTCAGTAATTTAATATTTCATATATGAAATTTCAACTTATTGAATCATGGCAAATAGAGCTGTAATCAATAGCAAGCTCAGCATACATTTTCTTTCAGTTCGTGATCTTCCATAGATAATAAGATGCTCTAAAATAAGAGAATTTGAGCTGTTCAGCTCTATCGTGGGGCTACTTTGGTACAAGATAATTAAAAAGGCAGGTTCCACCCTGTTTTGTGCTTCTCATACTTGATGAATAGAAGAGTCTCACTGAGCACAGGAAGGTGCAGGTAAAAGATAAAATCCTCCTGGAGTGTATTTAGCATAATAAACTTGAACTGAACTCAGTGGATTAGCACAGTGAATATACTCATCTGTACTACTGCGGTTAATCCAGTTTTGAAACCCTGGAAATCAAGGGCAATATATGAAAAGGTTAATTTATCATCAGATTTCTGAGCTTGTTTGTGTTTTTTTCCTGAAACTTTTTTAAGCAAGCGTCTGAATGGGTTGAAATAGATTTCTACACACCGTGCAATCACAAAAGTTTAAAGCTTCCTTTCAGTGTAGTATAATTTTTCAGTTTTATAATTCAGTACTTCTTCATTCAGTTAGATGACTTAGCAGAAGGTATGAACCTGAAAACAAATGTGATAAACTGCTTTACATGACAGTATTTGTAATTGACTGTAGCTTTATTTTCTGTGAAATGTTGGCAGGCAGGCACAGATAGTAAGGGCATGGTAAATATTACTTGAATATAAGATGGATGATGCTGTATTATCTGTACCTGTTCATGAATTCTTTCTTGCCTCATTAACACAATAAAAAGTTTGAATGCTGCTGTTAAGTACAGTTAAGTATTGGTGGCTGTTCCTTGTGACCCTGATAGGTGAGGTGGGCAGGGTAGATTTTCAGGCTTTTCTTTGCTGGGATCTGGAGGAGACCTTTGGAGTAAGCTAGCTGAACACCCAGTATGAACATGCAGTATAATTCCCCTTGGGTAATACGCATGGCTTTCTGCAGGTTTGTTATGACTATATTTCATTTTCATGAAAATTATGTTAGGCAGAGGACGTGTGAAAGCATTCACAGGAAATAACTTTATGTGGAAACAAATCTCAATTTTTTTCAAGCATGTAACTTCTGTGTGATTTAGTAAGAAGCAGTGGTAATGAGAAGAATTCCACGTTGGCCATTTTAGGCTCCGAGATACACACAGTTGTAGAGTTGTTGAATTGGCCTGAGGAATAGAGTGGACGGGTTGTGATTTGCAGAGTTAGTTGAGTGCCTGTGAGAGTCCGTTGGTCATCTGATTGACAGGATTGGCCCCGCCCAGAGGTAGGAAGTAGATGCTGGCATTTGGCAAGACAGCAAGATACTAACAAAGCAAAGGGTTCAAGTTTAAAAGATAAAAATAACCACTCCCCCCTCAATCATGCAATTCTTAGTGAATTTTCTGGCTTTGTTCCACAAATGAGGGATGTTTTGCTCCTGGTGAGGACCATCAGCTAGTACTGAGTCGCAGTGGACAGCTCTGACCACGTGTTGCTTAAAAATACAGGGAAGTACATTGGATTCACCTGTAAGTTCACGCAAGATAATTAGGTGTGCGTTAAGGATGCTGGGTTAGTCTTGCATACAGTGTAAAGATGTGAGGCAGACACAAGTGGAAACATGTACCTACTGTAGCAATGCTGGCATTTGCAAATATGTTAATTAAAAATAGGCCTATTCAGAGGAAGAAATCATGGACTGAATCAAGGCTGGAATCGTATGTCTACTAAACATGAAGTGCCTTTTATTGTGACAGTAGTTAATGATGTGCTCATTAAAAATCATCTCAAGAAGTGATTCTCTATACTTCATATTACGAGGAGGAAAACCAGTCTCAAAGAAATTCTACACAAACTAACAAGCAATATCAACCTAAGGATGCTCTGAGCATGTTTCTCAGTAGACAGCATTTTGCAGAGACTTGAGTCTGTGGCTGTGAGCAGAAAATTTCTTAGTTCTGATCTTGGCCTTCCCACTGTTTTTTATAGCCTTGGGGAAACTGCATATTTTCACATTTCAAAAGGTCTGCTATTTTCATATGCCCCATATATGTGGCTATTCAGTTCAAAACAGACTGAGAAGAATCTTGGTCTGAATCTAATTCCTCAGGAAAGTGTAAATAAAATACGTGTCTCTAGTTTGCAGAGCAACTGAGATCTGGAAGATGAATTCAACAGGACTTTTGCTCTTGGTATTGATAGAAGCAAGTGTAGGACTAGGTAGTTAATATATAAATGTCTACAGTTTCTGTGATTAGCAAGAATTGTATTCCATTAATCATACTGTGTGAATGCCGATGGTTGCCTTCAGTACACAATATCCAAATTGCCATGCAACAACTTAGCCAATATCCAGTAGATCACGTCACGGACACGAAAGCTGACAACTGGTATTTCTTGCTGTGTTAAAATGAACAAATTTATAAGCTCCAAGGCCTGATTCAGATCTCATTTACACCAATAAATGCACAGGAGGCATCATACATATCCCGGTTTGTTCATGATCAGAAAAACCTGCTCACAACAAGCTATTCCAGTCACTCACTGGAAATCACCTCTCTTGTGATACCTTTCTGTTATATATCTCTGGCCCTCACAGTCTGTTCTTGAAAATGTGAAACTACCAGCTGCTAAGTAAAGAAATCCAGGTTGGAGGAACTTACTCTGTTCCTGGTCACATACAGAATATATCTGGATGTATGTGGACAAATGTATTTGTATGTATTTTGTGTAGGCAGAGAACCGATGTAATGAAATAAACACTTAAGGACGAGTGCAGCATGATAGCGATCAACTGCCTACTCTGCTAGTGTGATGC